AAACTACACCTGTCTCGACGAAGAAAATTACGGTCGAAGGAATGGGTGTTTTTTTTCCAATTTCCGCCAAAGGGTGAAAGGAAAAGAGAAAAGAAAGGGAAAGGAGAAAGAAACGTGCAGTCGAGCATCAACTAACAACCTCGCGCTCATCCTCACGAGGGTCATTTCTTTTGGGGTACCTGCGGAAGACCTGTGCGCATTTCAACCTCTCAAGAGAATATCAAACGTTGACTTACTCTCTTGACTTCTTTATAATAAAAATTGGCTCTAAGAGACTGGTCGTCATTTATCCCCTGTGGGGGGAGGGATAGAAGGTTGGACGATACAGATGGTTACAATGGTCATAAGCAATGCTACAAACATGAAGATTGCAGCGCAAAAGGCTGCCTTGCAAAACCTTCGTTCATAGATCAATAATAAAACTAGGCAAGAAATTGCTTTAGGTGAAAGGGATTTTCGAGGGTAGAAAGTCTCCAATGCACGACCTCTATGGAGGAACTGACGGATACTATGTCAACGAAGTGTTGCGCACAGCTCCCTGTCAACGTTAAGATTCTAACCATATTTTGTACGGTATCGTCGGATTGAACTACGCGTGGATTAAGCGATCTCCTACAGAACTGGACACATCAATTGACAAGGAATATAATATGTTTTTAACTATTTTTATTTTATTATGCAAGGCAAGCTCATAATTTTAAGAACCACATATTTCTTACATCAAAATACAAGTCAGCTTCAATGGTTTAAAGAAAAAACATTACTCCAAAGTAAATTTTTCTGCAAATTAAAGTCAAGTATTTCAAAGGTTTCAAAGCGTGGAGAGCATTCGGTTGTAAGGTTGAAGAAAAAGTGTGGAGGAACAGCGATCATCCGAACACAAAAATCAGCCACCGCTTAAGAAACGACAAATGTGTTGGTTTTGGTGCGAGGCTGACATTTACTGCAGACGAGGAAGAGAACAAATCCATTTACAACCATCATGATGATGCAGAAGAACCAGCCGAGAACCCGAAACACGGTTTCCATTCTTTTTAATGGCTGTCCTAAACTACTCTGTTGTTCTTGCTTCGGAACTATTCTGTTGTTTATTAACGACACCTTTTGAAGAGAAGCCTTTTGCATTCTTGCTTTATATCTCTTTTGAAGAAAGCATAAGCTATAGGGTTTATTCCAGAGTTAATAACTTGTAGAGGAATTTTGTAACGAAAATCGTCACACGATTGAACAATTAAAAATAACAAACTACAACGCATCATTATTCCGTAACACGATAGAAACACACACGTTATCAAAGCCACCCATTTTACTGCTGAAGTGTTCTGAGTTTTAGCTTTAGCGACCATTTGATTAAACCGCAATTGCTTAGCTAAATTGTGATCTCTAGAGTTCAGATTGTAGACAACAAGAAACATGGATGCAAGAAAAAAGATTAGAATAACGCACAAGATTATCTCGAAAAGCAAAAGCAAGTAGCCGAGCATAGCCATGATACGATCGATTGCAATGAGTCTAGTCGACACTAAAATAAGAATGAAAAGAAAAGGAATTCCCCAAGATGTTAGAACCATTTGAATGACTCGACGGCGCGTCATAAAAGTCAAGTATTTCAAAGGTTTCACAACAGCAACATAACGTTCCAGTACTAAACTAACCAAGTTTGTTCCAGAGGAGTAAAGAATGAACACCCTTACAAATGTCACAATTAATCCCTCTTTTGAGCGTGGAGTGCAATCGGTTGTGAGGCTGCAGAAAAAGTGTGAAGGAACAGCAAGCATTCCAACACCAAAATCAGCCACTGCTAAAGACACGATGAATGCGTTGGTTTTGGTGCGAAGCTGACGTTTGCTGCAGACGAAGAAGATGACAAATCCATTTACAACCATCGTGAGAATGCTGACGAACCAGCCGAGAACCCAAAACCAAGTTTCCATATAATTTCTTCTAGATGGCTGTTTAGAACTTTTCAGTTGCTCTCTTAGGTAAAGCTGAGAGTGTTTTGAAACGTTTTAAAGATGAAAAACGTAATTGTGTTTATGTAGAGTTTTTATTCGACCACCTGTCTCCATCCAACCTATGTAAAAGTTAATTAGGGCAATATATATATGCTGTTTAATTAAGTGATATTCAAGGCTGCAATCATCCGTCACTTTTTCTCACTTTTGAGACTATAAGCACAGCATGATAGCGCAAATAAGATGCGAATTAACGAAACTTAGCCGACAACAAATATTTCAAATAACAATAATTCCAAAATTATCGATCGGTCAGTGTTAAGCGTAAATCGCCCCCTTCTCATATCAAGATAAAGACGTTTTTAACAAATAAAGAAGCCTGGAAGCCATGTTCTGTTGTAAAGCATTTCGGATAGCGGCGTTGTTTGTATTTTGACTCGCCATACGGACTCGTCAAATTACGGCACAACTCACAAAAATACTCAGCGATACTACACACCAAAACGTCTAATAAAATATATTTATCTACAGCTTGTTTTGCATCCGTTGCAACCAAATAACTCGTTTTAATACTCGTTTTAAAGGTCATCATGTGCAAGAGTTGTGGGTCAAGTGCGTCGCTCTTCTTTGAAAACTGTTTGCCAAACACACAAGTAGAAATTAAAAGCATTTCACTAAGACTTTCACGAAAAGGTAACATTGTAAAATTTCATGAAAGCGTTCGTCTTTGACAATCTCTCTTGACATACGACCGATGGATTACATGACTAGAATACTCGTCAAGTAATTCATTTTTAGTCGAGCGAAGGTCTTCTCTAACGAGCATCTCTAAGAAAAGTTTTCATAGATTTAAAAAAGTGTTGGAAATGTTACATCATTGTTACCTAGCTACCAAATGTGAAAATTTTCCGAATGAAAACGGGAAAATTAAAAGCATTTATATCAATGAATCTTATGTCGGCTTTGACTAACAAAGATGATGATCAATTCCCCGCTAAATTAAACACAGCTCATGGGGAAGTTGCACATATGCAAATCGACTGCCATTGACGAAAAGGCAGGCAATTCAGCAGTTGTTTTCCAGCATTTATCGTTTCAAAGTTATCATGTAATTCATCAACAAGAGCTTAATACTCTAAAACATTGAAGAGAACATACAGTAAAAAACACAGCAAAATTGAGGAGGAAAATGATATTTTTTTTATTCTATATCATTAAAATATACAACGCAAGCTCATAGTTATAAGAACCAGATATTTCCAAGACTGATATACATGTCAGCCTAAATGATTAATTTGAGAAAAACATTTTCTCCAGTAAAGTACGGTCTGAAAATACTCAATATGTGGTCTTAAATATTAGAGACATATGTAATATCAACACTGCTTCTCTTAAACAGGTGACTTATCTTTGTTTCATTGGAAGCTTTTAAACTGAACAGCAATAAAGAAAAGAATTAGTATGTCACGGTTAGATTCTGAACCGGGAGTCCTCGGGATCTAAGGAAGTTTTAAGTATATGCATCAGCTAATGTTTTTCTTGCGTCGGAACTACTCTGTTGTTAAATAACGTACGCCTTTTGAAGAGAAGCCTCTTGCATTCTTGTTGTATATCTGTTTTGAAGAAAGCACAAGCTGTCATAAACTTCGAAACTTGTATTGATTTTTCAATTGATTCGTCCTGCTATATCAAAATTGACCTCGTATCGTAAAACCTACCAACACAACCTAGTCTCTTCTTCGAAAAAGGACTGATCAAAGTCTAATGTACGCGCGATTATTGTAGTTATATTTCACTTGTCCATCAATCAACAAAGTACTGTACAAACAAAACAAGTATCTGGTTTCAAAGGTTAAGGAAATGGTTCTCGCGTGGGGGCGTTTCCATGTTTCCGACACTCCCCAGAGTTTATTCACTACGTGAGAAACTTTCAAAATTCACGTGAAGAAAATGTGTCAATGTTCGATTGTTCATGAACTATTCAATTGTCTGTTGATTTCTCCAACAACCGCTGCAGTACGTCGGGGTCTTACAGTATTATCTCGTACAATTCGATCAGCTGGTTGAATAACAACAGGTTGTGTTGAATGTGTGACTTCATTGATTGCCTTTACTTCAATAGGAATCAAATGTTGTACTACTCTTCGAAGATAAACAGGACGTTTATCTCTACTAGTTGTCTTGAAGACAGCGACACGAACCCTTCCATAAATTCCAGGAATAAGTTCTTCTACTTTCGCAAGTTTCCAATAACATCTTGTCGTCGAATCGCTCTTCAGCAACACAACATCTCCGATCGATATATCTCTCGCATCATTTCCCTTGTTGCTAACGCTCGACTGCTCTCGTAAACTAGTAAGATATTCCCTTCTCCATTTCTTAGTTGACTGCTGAAGTAAACTCTTGTAATGGCGAGCTCTTCTCGTCAATGGCTTGTAGGTACTAATAATTTCGTAATGTGCGCTGTTTGGAACTGAGCTTGTCCGGCGACCATAAATACAACCCGAAGGTGTCAAATGGTAAGAAATTGAATCTGCGTCGTCGTATATGTATGTTATGAGTCTTGTATTGATTACTGACTCGATTTCCACTAGTACTGTCCGGAGCTCTTCGAAATTTCGAGTTGATCGACTAAGGACTTTTTTGAGAGGTCTCTTGATACTACGCACCAATGTTCCCCAAAAACCTTCCCACCTCGGGGCCTTTCCAATGATTAAATGCCAGGAAACTCCTTGGTAGCGCCAAAATTCGTCTGATCGTGTAATCTTGCGTATTTCTGTGCACGAAGACTTGAACGTTTTGGAGTTAACCGATGTAAAACTTGCGGGTATTCCCTTCGGCTTCTACGTAGCTCTAAGTGTACAGCTCGTGTCGAAGCGCATGTAAACAAACATATGCCAACCTTCTTCGATTCATTTCGTTTAACTTCAGGACTCTTGGTTTCGATGAACAGTGGTCCGACAAAGTTGAGACCAACATTCGTAAACGAAGGATCTTCGAATACTCTTTCGTCAGGCAGATCGTTAGATGGCTGAGGGCTGTAAGGCATGCATTCGTATTTGCGACACATTACACATTTTCAAATAATTTCTTCACGGCTTCTCGTCCACGTAGCTCCCAGAAACGTTCCCTTATTGTTGTCAGGGGTATCTCGTATGTGTTGGGCACTGTGTTGGACAGATTCGTGTGATTGCTTTATCAGTAGTTGAACAAATTCATGGCTTGCAAGTAATAGGATAGGTTTCCTTGAATTTTCAGGTAATGGTGAATTGTTCAATCGCCCTTTACATCTCATAACGCCTTCTTATAGGTATAACCCAAACTGTGTGACGTACGTTGGCGGGGTCGACTTGTGATCTTTACGCTAAAGGAATTCGATTTCCATGGTGAACGATGATGCTTGCACTGACTTGATCCAGAGATGCTCGGCTTCCCTTAGATCGGTGGTGTTTAAACTCGTATCTTCTTCGGTACTCTCGTTTCGAACTCGATTCTTAAACTTCTTTGCAAACTTGATAACGAGGGCTGTTACACGGAGCAGACTTGTTAATTTGTGAAATCGACTTATGTCGATTAGCTGTTCGATTCTCTTCTCTAGAGTGTCGTCTGAATTATTCACAAGTGAATGCGTGATAGCTGGTGGATTCTCTAAAGCCTCTTCAAGAGCAACCTTATCTTCGGATTGTGTCGATCGGTTTACGGGCCATTCAGATTTTGGTCGGTTAAGGAATGCTGCGCCATTCCATCAAGTCGTATTGGTGGAAAGTTACTTAGCGGAAAAACCACGAGAAGGTATATCAGCAGAATTCCATTCGCCCGGGCAATGTCTCCACTCATCCTTAGAGGTCAATTTTCGAATTTCTTCCACACGATGCTGAACGTACTGTTTCCACACTAGCTCGTTTTTGATCCAACGCAAGGCAGTCATCGAGTCGGTCCAATTGATTATTTTAATTGTTTCTTTGCTAGAACTGAATTTGTGAACAAGTCGTGCAAGAAGAACTGCTCCTGGTAATTCCAGCCGTGGGAAGGACTGTTTCTTTGACAGCGCTACTCGTGATTTCGAGGCAACCAAACGAACGAAAGAAGGGCGTAGACCGAAGTCGGTTGAATCTAAACTCTGCGATCTCTGGTCTCTTCGCAAACGGATCTTGGAACCATAAAAATCGGAGCACGTCTCGATCTTCTTGTTTGATGCCCACCATTAAAAAATGCTTTCTCAATATCTGCAGTAAGCCCTACGGTATTCCAGCGAAACTTAGTTAACATGTCGACGATATGGGGAGTATGATTGCCTCCAACTTCTAAACAATCGTTCAGAGATCGTTCTTCCATAGAATTCTTGGCTGATCCATCGGAAACGATGCGAACCTTTGTCGTTTCTTGATCCTTTCGTACAACAGCATGGTGAGGTGAATAATAAACCCTCTTCGTAATGGTTCGTTCGTATCGTTCAAATTTGGCACCTTTTCGACGATTTCCGTTCGCACTTGCTCCTGCATAATCTTGTCATATCACAGGCGGCCCAAGCTCCAGCTGTGAGATGATCATCTTGCACAATAACAGTCATGGCGGAATTATAAGAGTTTGTATAGGAATATTTACGACCGCTCTAAGGAATAAAAAAATACATCAAATTCTCAAAAAAAGTACCTCACCTTACCTCCACAGCGTATTGCTTGTTATCTGACCGCTTACTTTGATGAAAAGAACGCATTTTAGCGAGTTTTCCATTTCGAGGTTTTCAACGTACATAAGAAAAGCCCAAGGCTGAACACTCCATTTTCGAACGCCCGATCTGAGAAGCGAAAAATCCCAGCGCAAAATGACCGGGCGGCCACAAATCCAACGCAGAATCCAAGCACGTATATTGTAGTTTCATTTCAATTCACTACAAACTCAATCTTCCCCGTGCAACCGACGCTAAGCCGCAGTTTGCTTCAAAAATTTCCAGTCTAGAGATTTCTAACAGCCCGCGTCCACATCAACCTTGACACACGACCGTTGAAAACCGGCTAGGTAACCTTGCCTCCTTTTAAAACCAAGTCTCGCCAGGGACCCCACTGTAACTTAGCATGAAGAAATGATAGATAGTCCGATAGTTGTTTGTAAATGGCAAGTAGTCTTCCTTCCATGGGAGTGCTGCTTCGTAATGACGACCATCAAAAGAGATTTCTTCGTTTCGCTTAGCTTTAAATGGCAAATGATTTGCGGATTCGATGTCGTCTGTGATTCCGATGCTTTCGGTTTCCCAGTACATTTTTAGCATGTTCGTGATCTCGTCGGCTTCATTCGCTTCGTTTGGCAGTGGTTTACTAGAGATGATAAGATGTGATACGAGATCGGAAATTCCACGGACATATTGCTTTTCGGTAGGACCTGACAGAAGCCAACCAAACTTGCTGTTGATGGCTGTGGGACCAAATTCACCGCGGATTGATTCTCCAGTGACAATGTCCCAGCAATAATCTGAGCCAATGAGAATGTCAATAGAGTCTTGGTCAATCGCAGAACGGTCTGCCAGACATAAATCTATCAAATGGGGGTTTCGTGACGTCTATTCTCTTAGGAAGTGGTAAACAAATGACTGAAAATTGAGCGCCCAAATTTCCACGTACTAAACTTGATTGTTTAGTAGTGGCAAAGAAACAACTTGGCATTTTTGTTTACGATAGGCGTTTTTACCACACGTGTTTAAGTGAAGAGTCTCAGGCGACGTTGCAATTAAACCCAGCTTCGCTTTGATGTGTTTGGTCACGTATGAGCGTTGACTGCCATTGTCGAACAAAATTCGTACGGGAACGGACTTTCGTTTGTTGCTATCGCGGCAGCAGTCTGTAACAAAATGCTCCCCTTGGCCTTTTTCGTACTTGTAGTTGCGATGGTAGTGGCGCTCCCCCAACTAGTTGCTTCTTCATTATTAATTTTACTGTCGGTTGGCTGCGATTCTCGAAATACTCCTAAACAAATTGACTGATGATGACGGCCGCCGCAGTTACTACAGTTCCTTTGGCCCTTGCAGTCCTTGAGTTGATGCCCACGACATAAACATTTAAAACATCGTTTCGACTCGATTAGTATATTTCTTCTGTCGTTCGGATTTGTCACCTTCGTGCAAGACGCTGAATAGTGCAAATCGTTACAATAAACACATCGTATTTCTGGAGTTTTCTTTCTTGTTTGGTTATCTTTGGTTACTAAGGAATCTGCGGACGGGTACTTGGGATTCTTGTTTCTGGTACGATGGAGGTTTCTGGTTTCGCTCTTAAGTGATTTTGACACTCTCGCTAACTTCTCTTGCTTCAACTTCTCGCTTGATTACGTCCATCAGTTCTTAATCAATTTTCCAACTAGGACTTTTCGTCCTCTAGCGATTCTAAGACGAACTTCATTGGGAAGCTTAGACATAATCACTGGAATTAGTAAACCGCCGTATTGATCAGAGGCAACGCCCAGCGAAGACAAGCCACAAATGTGGACGCTGATTTTGTCGTACACAAATCTCAAGGAGTTGGAACGTTTGGATGTCGAACAGCTTGGTAATTTCAACAGTTCCTTCATGTGACGGAAATTATTTGTTGCGTTCCTTGTTGCATCATTATTCCGTAACAAGATAGAAACACACACGTTATTAAAGCCACCCATTTTACTGTTGACGTGTTCTGAGTTTTAGCTCTAGTGACCACATGATTAAATCGTAATTGCTTAGCTAAAGTGCGGTCCTAGAGTTTAGATTGTAAACAACAAGAAAGACGAATGCAATAAAAAATATTAGAATTACGCACAACATTACATTGAAAGGCAAATACAAGTAGCCCCTCATAGTTTAGGCAAAATCGATTCCACTAAGTTTAAATGACGACACTAAAGTAAGAGTAAAAAGGAAAGGAATTCCCCAAGATGTTACAACATTTGAATAACTCGGCGACGCTCATAAAAGTGAAATATTTCAAAGGTTTCACTACAGCAACATAACGTTCCTGTACCAAACTAAAGAAGTTTGTTCCAGAGGCGTAAAAAATATACAACCTTTCAGATATCACAATTAATCCTGCTTCAGTTAAACGTAGAGTGCGTTCGGTTGCAAGGTTACAGAAAATAAGTGATGGAGCAACAATCATCTCAACACCAAAATCAGCCACTGCTAAAGACACGACAAGTGCGTTGGTTTTGCGAATGCGAAGCTGACGATTGCTGAAGACGAGTAAGATGACACATCCATTTACAACGATCGTGAGAATGGAAAGGAAGAAGCGGAGAACCCAAAACCACGTTTCTAGGACTTTTCAATTGCTTTCTTCGGTCAAGCCACGAGTGTTTTGAATGGTTTTAATGATGAAAAACTATTTTTACACATAGTCTCTAATCAACCATCTGGCCCCATGTACATTGCATAAAAAGTATTTAAGGCCAATAGATATTAATTAATTAAGTCACATTCAAGGCTGCAAACATCCATAACTTTTAACGTTTTTGTCAGACGCTTTGTACACTAAGTTTGACGCCTTTTTATTGTTTTTTAAAGAGAATGAACCAATCAGAAATTGATAACAAATGCGGGACATTTTTTACTTCATTATCTTATGTGTTTTAACACAAAGAAAACTTCGGCAGTCCCTTTTTAACTCATTCACGCTGAAAGCAATGAATGGGGTATCCTGGTGGAAGTTGCATTGTGGATCGTGAACGGAAGTAGTCTCGCATGTTACCCCTCCCTACTTAGTGAAAGTCAAAATCTCTCAAAAGCTCAGAAACTCACGTGGAAAGAAATAAAAAGTTTTTATGGCTTAGAAACAATAATAACCTCAAATTACATTTCCGAACTTCTAAAAATGCAACTTGAATCGAAAAGCCGAAATGTTCACAAGTACGGGACCCGTAGCAGATTAATTTCAAAACACGCGCATTTACGTTCATCTTCACTTGGTATAAAGTAATCATTGCTCTATCATTGTGCTTGACCTCGGCAGTTCTTTAACCTACAGTCAACAAATCAATCATATCGGCCAAGATAGTCTGAAATTTTAATTCGAGCTCCATTCTTTCGCTTCGGACTTGAGGCTCGCTCAA